CTCTCTCTCTCTCTCTCTCTCTCTCTCTCTCTCTCTCTCTCTCTCTCTCTCTGCTTGTGTTTGCACTGGTCCCCTCGTTTATTTGTTTTTTTTATAGGGGTTCGTTCTCACCTGCAGCACCCATCCTACCGGGCCCGGCGTTAAGCTGGATCTGTCCGCAAACGCCGAGATGTGGGACGTAAGACAAAATGAGGTGGTGCAGTCTGTGGATAGCGCTTGATCGGTCTAAGTGGCGTTATTTTCTAGGTACAACACAGGAACAATACACGGTGTAAAAAAAAGCTTCAAAGTTGGCGAGGAGTACTGAGGTCGTCTCGGGAAGTCCTGTGTGGCCCCCGATCGCTGTGTGTTCCGTACGAGAGGCAAGACCTTGTGATAAAGGCCACAGCAGTAATGGTCGCTGAGTAAAGGCCACAGTTTTGGTCGGCCTTAATAGAAAGCACCCGATACTATTCGGAGTATGAGGTCAGCTTCATTGTTCCACCTGTGTCACGCGATTTCCATGGCCTTGTGCAGGGCGACCGGCCTTGGATGTGCGGCCTTATGCAGGGACCACTACTACGCACATCTTAAGTTTTTTTTTATCTCTTTGAAGGTTCCAACACCGGCCCTGACTTGTTTTTATTTTGGGCCGTAGGTATCCCTCGTTTATTCCCCGCATACCCCCAACTGTACTATTTAGCTGTTTCATGATTTCCCCGGCTCCTTTGATGACCAGTTTCTCCTCACCCACCATGGGCGTCATATTTTGTTGACGGTGCGTGCGTGATGGCTTCTTTGAAATGAGTGACTTCGCCTCGCGGGGCAATTGACGGCTGGCGTAACTCGTTTGTCTGTCTTGTGGTTCTTTGTCGTCGCTGCTACGTACACGGACGACATCCCTACGACAGGCGTACTGCGCGCGATTAGACGACATTTCTACCCAAGACCTTTTGCGACAGGTGAGGGGCAAGGGGGAAACATATTGGGGATTTTCTGGCACCTTTGAGACAGTGTTGATTTAGCAGTGGTGTGAAGATAGTGCAGGGTCGGGGGAGACGGAACACTTTTTCTCGCAGCCCAGAGTTTCACTATTAGCGTTGCTCCACCTCACGTTCGAACGGTGTCGAGCTTTGGTCCACTCACCCGTTGGTGGCTTGGGGACGCTGTGAAATTACTTTTTGGGCAGTCTTTTCTCCATGCATGGTTGACCGAGTTTTCTTGAGTGCGACCCATGCATAATCTGTATCACCCCCGGACAACCGACGACTCGAAACGACAGCCCATTCCAGGTTGGATGCTTCTGATTCGGTCTCTGCTTCTGCTGCTGCTGCTGTGCTTGTCTCCCGCACCTGACCGATCGTTTTATTGTGTTTGATCACCAGACGTCTGCAAAGGTTATGCGCAAGTACCGAGTGGAGCATCCCGACTACTTTCGCGAGGAGGTGGAGCGGCAGTTCAAGTGAAAGCCGAAGGCACGATGACCAGCAATGCGCTTTACTCCACCTGGATACGTCACGACGGGCAAATATTTTTCGAAACTGCTCGCTCCGCTGGAAGACCTCTCATGCGCACCGCACACATCGCTGGAGTTGCGAGGCTGAGGAGGTGGCGGTTGGTTGCCGAACCGATTTTTGTCTGTCCCCCTTTGCTGTAGGTTGATTGGTTGTGTATACGCTCGCGCCGTGCGCGGGACGGGTAGGTGTTATCCTGTGTCGGTCCATAATTTCTGTCAATAATAGTCGATTCTCTAGACGCGTCAAAAACCCCATCTGCAATTGTGGGGAATAACGAATTCGTCGACTGTGTCTTTTGATTTGCACACTGATCGCATCTGTGATTGTTCGCCGGAGCGGCGGGAGGTTGGCAGCGTGTTGATGTTTTTTTCGCGGGGCAGTGGTGGTGTGAGCTGATGATCGTCTAGCGGGCAGCGTTGGAGACGGGCCACGTGTGACGATAATGCCAATACTGTACAGACAGCGAAGGCGAACTGCCCTCGACAAAAAAAATGTCCAGAGAAGCATGTCCCAACACATGTCCGCCTCGCCCCTGAGAAGCAAACTGCTGTTATCGACGGCGCATGTTGCGCTGGCTGTGCGAGGCAAAAAGAACGCGAGAATATCCACACATGATGGCCGAAGACAGGGTTCTCGTGTGGGAATACCCTTGTGTCCTGACTCATGTAGACAACCTCAAGAGGACGACCCCTCTATCTCCGTGCATGCATGTTGTGGAGGGGCAAGACCTTCAGGTGTGCCAAAAGGGATGCTGCCCACAACTCTTGGTCTTGTCCCGTGTCCGGTTTTGACCTGCTGTCCACACATGCCATCAGGGACAACATGCCACCACCTCGCACTCTCCTCGTGCCTGCACTTGATTGTGTTTTCGATGTTCTTAAAAACTTCATGAAGACCTTCCTTTCGGGAAACCACATGAAAAAACACGGCAGGAACAAGACGAACGCACAGAGAAACCGACACGAGACCAGTCCAGGAGGCTTGAAAAAAAGCTACCGGCATATTACATGACAACCAGCCCACGGAGAGAAAACGACCTCACCGCAGCCCAGGAAATAAGCAGGACGCTGGCTCCTAACACGCTAGGTTCTTGGCCCCTGGTTCCGTCACCCCCCGTCCCCCTTGCCCCCGTCCCTCCAACACCCGCTCCCCCGACGGGGCGTGGTGGATATGCGACGCTTGACTCTTTTGTGCAAACCGGCAACGACGAAAGGATCGACGAACCTGAGTCACCCGACACATCACCAACCGGAGCACAAGGGACAGCTATCTAGGGCCCCCTCGTGTTAAGGTCTGTACTCCTCGGAGTTTTCAAAACACCTACAGGTGTGGAGAGCAAGCCCCCCGCCCCCCCGCCCCCCCCACACGGGCAAACAAAAAAGAAGCTGTGAAAGAGCAAGTGGTCTATCTGGTCAGCTAGATCACATGCAAACCATGCTGCTGCCGCCGCCCTCGCCGTGGCGCCTTCGTGGCGTGGCGGCAGCAAACGCCTGCAAACGCCTCGTTTCGTTCGCTGTCGGTGTGCATGTGTGGACCTGCTGCGCGTGTCGAGTGCCACCTTTCTTTCTTCGTCGCGCACACGACAGCGACCGGACGAAATAAACTCCTTCGGAGATAAACCTTCTCCAAAAGAGAGAAGAATTGAAAGGGCACGGTTGGTTCTACATGTAACCAAGCACCCAACCCCCCCCACCCGCCACCACGCGTGTACTGTACGCTGCGTTGGATTGCGAAACACGCACAACCACGTTTTGTGCCGGATTCTATCCCTACCTCGGTATCACTCTTTCCACACCTAACGCAGAACGGTCACAAAGAGCCTCTCGCCTTTACAGCCGCACCCTTTCGAAGATGCTTATCGTGACGGTCAAGCTGCGCTTCCACGGCAAGGAAGGCCAGGAGTTCTACTTGCCAAATGCCCAAGAACACATACGCAAGCGTTTTCTGGCGAGATACTCCCCGTTGCGTTCCTGATCCTTTTCCGTTTTATCCTTTTCCGTTCTATCCTGTTCCGTTCCGTATTTTTCTATGACGTTCCCGCAATCTTCCATGACGTTTCCGTCACCTTCCATGACGTGGCAACGTTCCGTTCCTTGCCGTTCCGTTCCGTCCCATGTCTTTCTGTTCCGTGCTGCCCATCACCTCCCACGACAATCCCCAACCTTCCACTACCACCTGCCATGACATTGTTCTATTCCGTTCCATTGCTTTTCGTTTTGAAATGGCGAGAGGAAGAAGATGACAAACCAAATCAACAAGCGAATCACTTGCCCTGCTCGACCGTGTCCCCGACTCGCGTGTTGAGCCGTGGCGCGCGGGAGACCGACAGAAAGCACATTGGCTGACCGAAGCGATCACTACTTGCAAGCGCGACTCTCGATGGTGTTGGGCTGCCGTGTGATGGTGAGGACCCGCTCCCACGTGCGGCCGTGCATGTTGAGGCATCTCGGCGAGTTTTCCACTAGCTCCGTGATGGGGATAAACACCTGAAGACGAAAAAAAACAGAAAGATGATGAACGCTGAAACACGTAGCTTATCAGGAAGCGGAGACAGAAAAAAAAAAAAATGTAGTCCATCCACATACTCAGGCCGTATGCATAAATTGGCAAAAAAGTTGGTTCATCATCGTCAGCCCGTGTGGTTGCGTGAGGTGAAGGTAGCGTCACTGATACCAGTGCGAGCGAGCGGCAGCAGCAGTCAGCCCCTCATGTGTCCGTCATTGGAGTTTGCGTGTCCATATCAAAGAGAGTAATACACACAAGAGGAAATCAACCCCTTGGTTTTAGTGTAGACACTAAAACCATAGACTTTCAAGCAAGAGCTGCCTTCCTGACGGTTGCATCTTGGTCAGACGCGTTCCAAAACACTGCATTAACCCACACACGCACAGAATAACACACTGTAGTCCTTGCATCACAAAATGCGAAGCAGTCGGGTTAACAACAAATTGAGTCGACACACAAACATGCGAAGCACCATTCCATCCACTTCTTCCACCATTGGAAATTCTAGCCCCTTTCCTCATGTCTACATTCCTGCCCGAAAGTCCCAGAGAGCACATGTCCAAGTACTATAACACAGGTACTCTCGCATGTGCAGCGAATAGCACAGCAGGCAGCAGCAGCTGTGGACCTCGCGTGCGACGGAGCGCGATTAATCAGGCAGCCTTACCACCTTTTTATTTTTGTTCGTTCACTGACCGTCCTGTTGTTGACCACTCCCGCGCTGAAGGCGGTGTAACCCGCCATGGCTCCGTGCACCGCGTTCTGCGCCAGCTGCATGCAGTAGATCTGGTCGAAAGCCGTCGCCGCCACGGACCTGCAAGTCGGTGGGGAGGGAGGAGATGAAGCATCAGGGATGAGAGATCAGGGAAAATGTCTGAAGATATTTCAATGGTGAAGGGAAGAAATAGACGATGAGTCGTTTCACCGTGGACGCGGTGATGCCGTGAAGGTCGAGAGAGGGCAAGTTCCAGACAACGCGGCGACACCATGTAGGTCTGACGAGGGGTGTAGGTGATTTCCGAGTCACTGAACAAAGCCGACAAATGATTCAACTGAAGTTCATTCGCTTGCAAGACGAGAAAAGAGTATTACTACTTCTATTGGACAAGACCAAGGAAAAAACAGCCGAAAGACACAGCACGTTTGACACGGCATAATCGTCGAGACCAACCGTCAGAGTAGTTATCGGCGAGACCATCACGGCAGTTATACTGTACCAAACCAACCACCATGAGGACCAGGGTAAATACACTTTTACTCGATGGTCTGGTGGCTACGCCTACGACTTTCGCAAGTTTCCGCCACACTCCACACCCTGCTGTACTTCTTGTAGGGCTGCTTGGTCCCCCGCAACATGGTAGCGCGCTTGGTATTTGTCTGGCACACCACCGCCCCATCCCACATCGAACGCCGACAACTCTGCAGCACAAGAAACTGGATTGGAACGGTCGGCAACGTTCCTTCTTCTCATGAGAGAACCAACACCAACGTCACTTGTTTTCAGGGAGAGAAAGGAGTCAAAGGCCGTCTTGAGTGTAATTTCGTCTGTCATTCAACAGTTGGTCTGACCTGATCATGTAGGAAGGGTCGATGTACTTGACGTTGCATATCTTGTCCTCGGCTTGGAACGCGTCCTCGATGGCCCCCTTCATGAACTTGCCGATCGCCGGCAGTCGCTTGTTGCTTCAGCATCAGAAAGAACACGGCAACAAACAAAAAAACACGCCGCCGCGTACGTCCGGGAGGAAAAAAAGGAACGTTGATGACGAACGAGGGGCAGCAAAATTGACGAGACAACGCCATCGGCAGATTTAGGCATAAATATTGAAGGCACTAGCACATTTAGCTCCCGCTGGTACACCAGCGGCTGAGAAAGAAACCACACACATAGGAAGTACCAAAATTTAGTAAACAAAAGTACAGTAGGCATTGCCAACAAGGTGCTCTCTTCTGTTCGTGTGTGAAAGCACATTCGCTACGACTGTGTACATGCGTGGAACTTGTGATTTTTTCTGGTACTTGGACAGTGCTCTGCTGTACATGAAGCTTTCCGCAGCAGCTGCTGTTGCTACCGCTGCTGTGCGTCGTTGTTTCGCCCTCAGGTATTAAAAAAAAAACGTAACACTTTCCTCTCATCAATTGTTGTATCGTTGATGCTCGTGACGGTGATGCGATATGTGCAACACTCACGGCATGTCGTTCTCACCCGCTGGCATCCTTGGCCGTGTTTTCCCCTAGCAGCTCCTCCCCGGCCCCTTCTGCCACGACCACAACGGCGTAGCCCTTCTCCTCAACCTGCACTCGGAACGAGCAGGCGGCCGGAGGTAGTGAGGGTGACATTGCGTCACCAGCAAACGCCCATCCCCATGACCTCGGCGCGATTCTGCCCACAACATCGTCAACAACAGCATGGTATGGTATATTGTCTTGTCTGCCTGTCCTAAGTGTGTCTCTGTCGTACCCTCTTCATGAGGTGAGGGATGCAGCCGGTCGGTCCCTCGAGAACGATAGGCGACTCCGGCACGAGGCACAGGTCCACGTCTCCGGATGCCATCGTGGCTATTGTGCGTGTTGCATCATCGTGTCGAGAGAGGGACGAAGAAGACGCGACGGGCAGGAAGGAAGGGAAAGGCACGCAGTGCCAACAACAGCAAGGTGTGCAAGCAATAATCAATAAGTGCTGGTGGTGGCGGATGTATGTATTAGTTGTGCGAAAGTCGAGACACTCCACCTGGAAGAAAGTGCTCCAGATGGTTGGTGGTAAGGCGGTGATGGTACGAGTTGCCAGCAGCAAATAAAAAAAAAACAGACAGAGCCGTCCTGTTTTCTGCACATGTTGACGCTTAATCGTCGTCTCTCACCGTATGCCGCGATGTATCCTGCCGATCGTCCCATGAGCTGTGATTGGTTTCAACCGACACCCCGTGAGAAACCACACAATCGCGGGGGGAGCGGTGGGGGGCAACGGAGTGCGCGCAAGAAGGCGTGAGGGCGGGTTCGACATGGCGCGAAGCGAAGACAGCGGTACTACTGCGAGCTACTTGCTGCAAGCGAATGATGAACGGAGTAAAGCGGTCGCAAAGCCACGACGTACACTAATGGCACTAATGGCACCACCAGATCACCTGTTTCTCTCCCTGTACAATGACCAGGCCAAGAAAACTAAATGAATCGCGAGAAGGTGCAAAAGGGTGGACACCAAAAGGAGAGCGGCAGGGCTAACCGTAAACCTAGTGCGGTACTGATTTGTACTGACTGTACTGTGCTGTAGTGTAGTGTACGGCGATTTGATTGAGAGGCCATTGGTGTCTACCTGTGCGGGTCTATCGCCACCACGAACCAATCGCCGGCAACGACAAAATAAACGTTCTGCCCACCGCCGCCCCACCCACGGCACCACCTTGCCACTCTATCGTATGCAGCACGCAATGCTTCAATTGGCTTCTCGTGCTCATGTACATTACTCATGTACATGATAACTAATGATCTTGCCTAGAGGCCGAAACGCACGGTGGGCTGGGCCATTCGCCATGGGCTAGGCCATTCGCGCCGACACAACGGCCAAATCCAATAACTCGCTACCCAAACAACGTTCATCCACATGTAGTATCCATACAAGTGTCATTTTCTGTGTGAGTGGTTCTTTCATACCTTGACGACGCCAATGCCGTTGGGCAGGTTGCACTTGGCTTCCGTTGTGGCCACCTGGATAGCCGCCTGTGCGGACTGTTTGGTGGGCGGGTTGGAGACAAGAAAAAAAACAGAGGACGATAGTTAGGGCAATGCTGCTGCTGCTGCTATCAGCGGGAAGCATGTAACTCTACGAGATTCTCATAGTTGCCGGGGCCTCGATAGCCGTGGGATCTATCGCGTCACCATGAGCCGTGGGCGAGTTCGTCGTCACAAACGGTGGCTCTGTAGAATAGACATCATAAAGCCAACCACGCGGACTGCGAACAGCTGCTGTCTGCGCCGAGAAAAGATGCACCGCTGGAGATTGCTAGAAACGCCGGAAGAGCGACGGATACAGTATCAAACAAACGAAAGAGAAGTGACGTGCAAAACCAAACCCATCACCGTTCTACTACTTCGAAGTATTATATAGTATGATACGACCCTCCACCACGACGACGGTGGCAGAGATTTGGTAGAGATATCACCCCATCCACCCTCCCACTGCATAGTCTCATAATTTTAGCGTTTGGTTTGGTTTGGTTTGGTTTGGTTCCGTGTCAGTCACCTCTACGGCGGTGAGGAAACCGAAGGACCGGTCGATGATGTCCAGATCGTTGTCGATGGTCTTGGGGATGCCGGTCACCGAGATGTTGAGGCCCTAATGCAGCAGACACACGCCCGCCACGCGAAACGGACGCAAAAACAATGTTCACATGTACGGCTGTAGCGGCCACCAGCCGAGAAAGGGTTTTCGTCCGGTGGATCATGTGTTGCATGTGACTGATGCACATTTCATTGGTTCGTCCATGATTTCCCCCCCGGTTCGCGTACGCAACAAAAGGGAAATCTTGAGGAAACAAACAATGCGCCGTGAATTTCTTCAGTTTCGGCGAACGCGGTAGTTCGCAGGCAGCAACCCTGAGAGCAAAGTGAAGGTCTTGCTCGTTTGTGCGAGCCGTTACAGGAAGGATCGCGAATGAGGTACGGCAACAGTGAACAAAAAGGGAGGTACAGGAAGCTGAGGCCACACACACGCATTTCTCCGTATATTTCGGCCTAAATAGTGCAGAACGGAAGAGCTCGCATCGGCGTGAACAGGGGCCCTCACCAACCACATCACGCGCCAAACCCTTCATAACACGACGGGGATGGAAGGGGGGAGGATATATGGCATCAATCGTACAACAGAGGGCCGTTGCCTTGTGTGTAATACACCGTCACCGCCGAAATTATCGGGGTCTCCTCATAACCCTGCTCGCTCGCATACGGCATGCCCACTCACCCTTTGCATGCACTCCGTCGCGATTCGCAGCGCTCCTCTGTGAGTTCCGTCGCCTCCTATGATGTACAGCTGGTTCACCTGGCCTCCGCCACACCAGACGGCAGGGGAGGGAGAAGGGTCAACGAGTGCAACCCGGATACTGTGTGCTCTATACATGAAGCCCCAAACAACACCAGTCTCAACATGTCTGCACTCCTCCGTGAGAGGACAAGGAACGACATCTCAGGACTGCCCTAAAAGCGAGGACCGTTGGAACAGTTGATGACAATCTTCCTGCTGGCGCTATTGCGATCAACCAATGGAGTTGCAAGTGTTGTGCACATGTCAATAACCTGTGAATGGTCTTAGCGACTACTGTACATTGTCGTGTTCCCACTCACCTTGTTGTCGACGAGGAACTTGATAATCTTGTCGAGGTCGAAGCCTCCACGGGAAGACCTGCACCACACCAGCACCCCGAGAGGACAACAGTCACAACCCCATTGGCAACAAGAATAACAACATCAGCACCAACAGGGGAGCGAATTCACGTTGTACCTATGCAAACGCAGCCCTCGGCAGGCTGGCATATCTAGAGTGCAACAGAAAAAGCAAAGACTGCATCTAAAAATGTTGAAAGGTGTGGACAGGAACCCAGAACGGATGAGACGGAACAACAAACAAACTGCTTGACGCGTGCAAAGGTTTAGAAGATGACCCGTGCATATGTTTGTAAGTGGGTTGGTTCTATTCTGCGCTTTCGTTCCCTAGCATTTTGCGTGCAGGTGCATGGTGGTCACACATACACATACGTGCACCGTCCTGCCTCGACATACAAGACAGGACCAAGGTTCACCCCATATGATACAGTATATTCCATTTGATGTCCCATTTCATACGGAGTATTCCATATTAACAGTGTTCCATATGAACAATAGCACCCAAGGGAAAAGTTCCCACGGCCTTCAACCCTTCAACGAGCACGTTGCACTCCAACATACACCTCCAGACTACAGCCCCCCGATACCCGGGCATAATGCTAGACTCAAATCAAAATCGGATTCGTATTTGGGGATGTTTGGACGAGTGACGACAAGGTAAGGGTGCGCTAACACGTTGGGTGTAAAAGACCGTCGACACCATCTCATGCTACTCTGCCGACCTGATTGAACGACTGCCGTTCACTGATGGTGGACTCGGATCCCCTGCAGTAGACAACCTCTTGATTTCTCGCTACCGCCAAAACACAAACGGGCCAGTTTCCGCTCGGCCTCTACAAGTACCAAGAGACAAGCACGTGTCCGAAGAAAGAGAGATGTAGGATGTCAGCTTCTCTGGTTGCTGACAGCACCTCCTCCCTTACCCGAGAACGGACCCTGGCTGGTGCTGGAGGAACTCCACCCCCTCGCTAGTTAGCTCCACCGCAGGAGTAGCCTCGTCGTAGAACCCGGCGAAGCCGCCCCTGATGCCGAACACCTACGAAAGTCGCCGCCCGCCAAGTAAAGGAGGAGCGGCCACACCAGGGCCACCATGGTCGTCGTCATTTTGCAGTCAACACGCGCGCTTGAGGAACAGTGGTGTTATCCATGCGAGAGGCGAAAGGGATAGCGGCGGAGACGCGCAAAAGAACGACCCGAAAACGGACCGCCTCCGCGAGAAAACAACTTCATGAGGATGTACCACAAGGGGGGGGGTACGCAGACACTATCCCTAATCCTAACCCAACTTCCCAGCCTGCATTCTTTATCCAACATGCTTACCTAAACGAAAAACCCTGCCAAGGCTACTTACTGCCTACGACACGCAGGAGCGAGATGCAGCGAGTGCTTCGTCGCGGCAGCAAAAAGAAGAGACCATCAAATGGACCTGAATGGTAAAACAAAACGACACCGCGTGCAGTACACGGTAGTGCTTCGTGTCCACTTTTTTTAACACACAACCTCTTTGTTGATCTCTCCACCCTCGCATCGTACCCCCCCTCCCCCCCCACGCAAACATACACACGTTGTTGTCCCGCTACCACTGGTGCCCTTTCTACTGGTCAGCAGCAGAAACGAGGCCGTTGTCAACAAAAAAACGCTTGAGAAAAAACGGCACACCTTGTCGGCCTTGTAAGTGACCAGCATCGTCTCTACAAGGTGATGCACGACGCTGTTGAGTCCCGGGCACAACCCGCCGCACGTAACAATCGCCCCTCGCACTTCCGTGGGGTTGAAGTGAAGCTCGGGTCGAGGCCCTACACGCGGTGCGAGTTGGATGCACAGCGGCAGAGCAGCAACAACGATGTCAGATGCCTACGGTTTCATTCTCGGTACGAACATCTATTTCATTGACATTTCGGCGTATTTCTTCCAGGCCTTGAAGTGCGCCAAGGTACCATACCATACCGTACCGTACCGTACCGTACCGTACCACACCACACCGCACCCCACCGTATCGCAGCAATCTTCGTGCACAGACACGGTGCCGTAGGCTTTCCCAAACAAGCATGTGTTCTCCAAGTGCCCGCACTTAGTCCGCATGATGAAAATGCTTGTAGACTATTCCCCGTATAATGTACGCAACACACCTGCCCGGAGGAAGGCCTTCGCCGTCGGCGGCTTGTTCTTGTCGCGCACGTGCTCTGCTCGACCGAATGGGGTGGGAGTCATCGACGGCAGCGGCAACCGCAGCAGCAGTGGTCAGAGACAGCAGTGAGCGAAGGGAAGGTCTACGGTAGTACAAGTAGTGCACCGGTATCCTGCGCCTTGAACGAAGCAACACCGACGGAATGGAATTGGGAGAGCAATCGGATTTCCTACACGATGGGAAATTCAGTGGCGTGCCTAGCTCGTACCATTGAAGACTCTGGAGGTTTGTCCTTGCCAACGTGCGTGTCTAGCCGCCGACAACGGGCCAAAGTCGATGTGCATGACAAAAAACACACACAAGGTAGACGCCACAGCACAAATAGCGTTGTTGCCCCCAGCCCTAGGGGCAACACTCAATTCTTGCAGAGAGAGAGAGAGAGAGAGAGAGAGAGAGAGCGCTTGCACCATTTCATTTCAACAGAGTCGACCAACGGGAGGCGAGCGACTTCGCTCTCTCAGTCCCACACTTGGCACTCGCCGTAAATGATGCAGTCCCTCGGCCCCAGGAGCTTGTTGTAGCACGTCGGGCTGCCCTGAGTGTTGACGGTGATCTCGCGGTTGGGGGCTAGGGACGAGGGAAACTTGACGTTGAGGTTGGGCACCTCGCACATGATGATCTTGTCCAGGAACATGCTGCGGGGCGAAGCAAGCCAAGGCAGAGCCGGCGCAAAGCCACAGACAAGCCGGAGAAGGACAAAGCAGAACAGAGCAAAGCAGAGCAAAGCAGGGCGGAGTGAGCCACATTGAACTGCTTACAGCTCGGAGCAAGGCCGAGCCGTGCAGACGGAGTGAGGCAGAGCACGGGGCTGAGAAGAAAGAATTTCGGACGAGGGCGCACATGAGAACGCAAAGTATGCTTTTGGGGGGTTCGCTTTGCGTCAACGCTGCTGCTGTGGGTTGGCTTGACGCAGAGGTGAACCGAGAGACACACCACTCGCGAGAGAGACATTCTTCTCCGCACTACAAATAACTACTTAAGAAAGTCGTGATCGGTGCGGAGAGGGGTTACGCACCCAAAACCAAGAGAGGCAGAGGCTCTAAGGTCATTCTCTGCACCTTTGTCGCGTTAGGTGCACAAGGAGCAAGAACGTTCAAAACGAGGCATGAAATTATTCGTTCAGCCTGTGTATGAACACGACACCAAGCAACCTCGATCTACTTTTAGCAGCAAGCTCTCGAGCAATTCACACAGACGAGGGTGTTTACTGCACGAACACCGCCACGGGAACGACCGTTCCGCTGATTGCGTTTTGTTCGGTGTGCACGAGTAGTGATCACCAGGCACCAGGTATTATATTCAGCTACAGTTGAGTTCGTCTCTTGTTTCTAGAAGCTGGGTTATTATCTCGCACGGGTAGTCTTCCAGTGACATGTACTATAATACTGGTAAGGACACATAGAGGGAGGGGGCCCTGCGTTGTATAAGGTGTCGTGGTCGGAACGCGGTCGTGCGACCAAGAGGCCAATGCAGTATGTATTGTAGAGTCAGAGTTTTTCGCAGCGGCAAACGGTAAATTCGCATGCGCGGTAAAAAACATCTTTGCGGTCGTTTCGAAGGTCGCCAGCCGCCCGCGCGAAGTGCAAAGACTGCTGCTTTGTAGTGAGTGGACAACTGCTGAAACAACACATCAAACGCTTCGACTACAACAGCGGTATGCATATGCGCAAACAAGCACAAACAAAGTCTTAGCTATTCGTGTCACAATGTGCACATGGGGTGGCCTCTTTAGGCGAACGACCGTTGTGGAAAGGCTGAAAGGGTTGAATCGAGGCGCGCCTCTTCGTTTCAGGGGGTCGCTACAACATGGTGCGCGGTGCGCGGCCCAGCGAGATCGTCCGCATTATGAGTGAAAATTCGCCGCCCCGATATCTTCCAGAAAATATCTTCCAGAAAACTGCTGCAGAAAGCCTAAACGCCACATACGGGTACACGGTGGAATGACTGCCAAGGATGGCTGCGAGCGGCTTCTTCTGCAGCAAGAAGCCATTACAACACCGCTGGTTCGAAAGTTTCGGGTGTTGGGGATGATCGATCGTACGTAAGTTGATGGATGATGTCGTATGAATGCACGTTTGACGTCACGGTTGGCGTGCAGGTACAAGAAGGCGGCGCTGAGAGTGCAAGCAGGAGAATGAAACTTCGTTGGCACTGCGTGCCTGCGCTCTCAACGCAGGAAGCATGGACCAACTCTGCAGCATGCACCACGTACGAAGCCTATTTAGTCCGAAACTGCGTCTGCTCCTCCGGTACTAGCGTGTCGCCCAACAACGGACGATGACACGACGATTTGGCTAGCAGAGAGAGGAGCGCGGCGGCAACATCAACTTCGGGGCTGCACCACAGGAGCAGGAGGTACATACTTCATTGCACACATACCCGCTCTCCGTGTGACCAAGGTCTTCAGCGCAAACAGATCCCGTGATAACTCCATCCTCGTTCGTAATGAGGTGCTTCCGCAAACCAACGGAGGGTATCGGAGTAGGGTCTTCCTCCATGGCAAACGCTCTGCTCCTGCGAGCACACGGACAGCGCAAAAAGAGGCAGCGCAACTTGAACGCAGTTTGTTCAAAGTTGAAAGAGCACAGGTGGTTGTGCGTCTGCACAGGAACGGCAGTCAGCAACGCGCCAAGTGCTCTCACCTATGAGGAAGGTTCTCTATTTGTACCCCGCACCGGCGAATAGCAACTGACAGCGCGTGGACACAGGAGGTGGTGTGCGTGCAAAGTTGTGTTGCAATGTTCCGGGCCGCCGTTCAAGCGGGGATGGTCGGGGGCCATCCCCTGCCACATCACGCCTCCACGTATCACGCATGTATCACACATACTTCGAAGTACATTATTTTCGTTCCCTGGCGCTTCGTTCTTCCTGCCTTGCTTGTTCGTCCGTGAGTGGAAGAGAGACACAGACAAGAAGCCCCCCCTTTCGTCTGTCGTACACACCTGCTACAAGTAGGCTGTGGGATCACAGTAATGATCGAAATTGTGTCAGAAACCATTGAAATTCCTGCCAAGTGTGGTCAGCAAGTTACCGCCCGTGGAAGGGATGATACACAACAATGCAGTACCAGTATGCTTAGTACAGCAGTATCGAAACCCGTACTAATGTCCCAGTACAACTGTCAGTACAGTATGGAAAGGCTGTGAGTACTGTACTCAGCCCTGTATAGTATGGAGTACTGTACTGCACGTACTTTTGTTTTGAGTACAGTATTGAAAGCTGTACTTCAACGTACTATTATTGCGCTTAGTACAGTCTATCTACTATGGAGAGCCGTCCTAAACCCCCAGTACAGAGTACAGTATGGAGACCTGTACTAAACGTACTATATCTCTTGGTACAGCAGTATGGAGAGTCGTACTAAACGTACTATTGCGCTCAGTACAATATTGAGAGCCGTACTGAACCCCCAGTACAGCACATGGAGACCTGTATGTACCAAACGTACTACTACTACTGTTGTGAGCGTGCAGGTATTGAAAGCTGTATATTGCGCTTGTTTAGTGAAAAAAAGGAGCCCTGCAAACGTACTCTTGCGCCTAGTGCAGCACCGAGAGCCGTACTTGCAATATGCATATTATGCATGAAGCACCTGCAACGACAGCACTCTCAGTTGAACATAAACATACACATAAACATAGTACACGCTGCTTGGATCACCCCCCCCCGATGCTCCCTCGCCCCGTCCCTCCGTCTTTGTAATAGAGTAGTGCTGTAGTGTACGCGTACTATTCCTTAAGTATGGTATGGAGAGTTGTACTAAACGAAGTGTTGTTTTGAGTATGGTATGGAGAGCTGTACGAAACGTAGTGTTGTTTTGAGCATGGTATGGAGAGCTGTACCAAACGCACTAGTCTATTGCGCCTAGTACAGTACCTGGTCGCCCCGGTGGTATGATTATAGTAGTGGGTAACTTCGCAGCCTGCTAAGGGCCAGGTCATGGGTTCGAGTCCCGGCAGAGTGATTTTTTTTCTCACTAAATTAATCCTGGTCTAGGACGAAAGCGACGCGTTGGAAAGCTCGTTGTTTGAGAACCATAATCGACTTCGTAAGTCGCGAGGGAAGGGATTGCTGTACCCTTCTCGCGATAAAAATACCTCAGGCAGGAACCGCAGGAGGGGGTCCAGCCGCCCCCTCCTATGTGACCCCGGTTGGGTCATCTAGCTAGTAGAAGTGGAGGATAGGGGCCAGACGGGCAGACGACAGAATCCGATGATGGGAGAACAAAAAAAAAAGCACCGAGAGCCGTACTAAACCCATACCAGTAAGTATTGAGAGCTGTACTAACCGTACGATTGCACTTAGTACAGTATGGAGAGCCGTACTAAACCCCCAGTACAGTACAGTATTGTGGGTCGAATACTGTACTATGTCCAGTACACTACCGGCCGAAAACCCGTACTAAACCCCCAGTACAGTACAGTGTTGTGGGTCAAATACTGTACTATGTCCAGTAGTACCGGCCGAAAACCCGTACTAAACCCCCAGCACAGTACAGTATTGTGGGTCAAATATTGTACTATGTCCAGTAGTACCGGCCGAAAACGCGTACTAACCCCCAGTACAGCAGTACAGTATGGAGACCTGTACAAAGCGCAATAGTACATTTAGTACAGTATTGAAAGCTGTACTAAACGTACTATTGCGCGTAGTACATTACCGAGAGCCGTACTAAACCCCCAGTACACTACAGTACGGCCCAATACTTTACTGGAAAGTGCGTTTAGTATGCACTGTACTAAAGGGAACCTTGATAGTATGTACTGGGTGAGTGCAGGATGCACGACGAACGAGTCGTTTGCTGTTTCCCGATGTTGAATCTGGGCTTGAATGCCGGAACCAACCCCCCAGAAAATAATCACACGCTCAACAACACAGCAGCAGCACCATCACTGGTACCACAGACAATGCGCGAGAGGGTTGAGCCGGCCTCTTTCCTTCAATTTCGTTGACACTATGGATCCATTGCCAATCTATCGACTCTTTTCCTAGATAGGTAGAGATGGATTCGTTGGGTCATAGTCTAATTAGAAAAAAAAAGAAAGAAGACTAGAGAGTTGGGTCAATCCTCGGGAAATTCCATTTAAACTACTCTACACGGTACACAGCACTGCGCGGCTGGCTGTGGATGTGTACTTTTCGTTCGGATAACAATTATCTCCGGGGGTGGGGGGGTGGGGGCCGACCTCTAAACAGATGCAGGAAGCGACATACATCGTATCGTATTTGATTCGCATCACGCCCGAGGTAGGACGACGCTGTACGATGTCACCACATCAGTTGCTTGCATAGAAAAGGCTGCAAAATCCCGCATGATGAGCGATAATGCGCTTCGTGCATCATGCATATTTCATCACGTTTCTCCACAAGGGTCTCTTAACCCCGTGCTCCAACGGTTCATCAAGACCCCGCTGGTCACCTGGGCTATACAGCAAGGCCAGAAATGACAAGCATGACTGCATGGTGTTCTCTCATGCCTCTTTCTACAGGTTTGCACGATTTCCCGTGCGTGCGTAAAAAGTCAGGGGCATCAATATGATCGCCAACAAAACAACAAAAACAACCGGAACACAGATCAACCCACGTGTTATTCACACAGGAACGTTGGCTTCAAAGGAGCCCAAAAGCACAAGGTTTTCATCGACTGGTGGTGTTGTCTCTCCACACCCTCTCTCCCACCTGCTGTGTAGCACGCAAGAATGAGGAGGCACATCTGTACAAAACCCAAAAATGTAGCCAGCGCCACGTAGTGCACCATAGTTATGTACGAGACACTTGCCCTGAAAAGTACCAAAACGAACCTCAAGTGCAATTTGTGTTTGCAGCACTCAACAAGGGACATAGACAATACAAGCATTGAAACAACTTCAATCAATCAAGCAAGCCTGTAGACCATTGCCCTTGTGGCCCGTGAAACGCAGGCAGCCCCTACTCACGAAAGGAATACTGAAAAATTGTAATATTGAATTTTCACATGTACGTTATACTAGGTAAATTTATCTGAGAAACGACCAAACACTATCGTCCCCCAATGCCCCCGTCAACGTAATGCTGTCTCCTCTCGCTGCCCCAAGAAACATCAGGACAAACCCATGGTAGCACTACTGTTGCGGAGGTGTCACATTGTCCACAGCAGGCTGTAGATCTGGGACGTCGAGCGCAGCTGCCTGCGTCACACGATTCTCTCGTTCCAAGCTATATGCCTTAAACTCCTTTTCAAAAGCGGCTCTGAAGTTTGAACGAAAACGGAAGCGCACAAAAGAACCCTGGGTCAGATGTACTGAGCAAACTGTTCAGTCAGGCGCTCAGACATCACAAGCAGTTCCGAGCGAACCAGCAGTTCCTAGCTGGCTAGACCATTCGCAGAAACTAAGGATTTGAGCTTTGGCATGATTGAAGTAAGCTGAAGCGTGGCGGAATTTCGGAAACTGAGCAGCTCAACGATTGGCATGGCCCTTCATACGAATCGAGCTGCCCATGACAATAACACCCCGTTCATAGACGTGCTGCCGCCGCAGTGAGACTGCCACTGACACGCCACTAAAAATCACGCCCAGACAGGTGAAAGAAAGTTCGAGACTCTGCGATTCGCCCAAAGATAGGTCCCTTGCTTGTCACAACAGCGTAAGGATGTAGAGACTAAGAAGTAGTTGCACGTCCAAATGACCATCACCTTGTGAATGCACATGCCTACGGTTTTCCTTAGTCAGTTCGAGACAGGAAAAAACAACAAAAACGTGCCCCTACCTCATGACCGCGTTGATAGCGTATATCTCCGCCCTTCTCCGTTCTCTCTCCCGCGAAGCCTTAGCCCACCTCTCGGCGGCTTCTGACGCTCGGACGGCATCCGCCGAATTGTTACGCTCAGCGAGAATTCGTCGCTCCGCCTCTTCGGCTCGAGCCGCTGCTAGTTTTCTGGCGGCCTCCGTCTCAGTTTCTACCTGCTTCCTGTGATCCAGAGTAGCCTGCTCTTCTTCTTGGCTGTCCAACTCTTCTGCTCTTCGCCGTTTCCACTCCATCACCCGTAAGCGTGCCTGTTCGAAAGCGGATGAAGTTGGAAACAACCACTTTGCAGTTTCGACGCCTGACACACACGAATCCGGCGCCAGCGCTACCAGACCTCCACCATCGTCAGGTGTCTATGCACGTGGTACTTGGTTCTGCCGTAGATGGGGCGAGCAAACGTACTGATCACCAAGAGACTAAGCCCTTTTATTGGCGGCTCGGCGATTTGGCGGCTGCTAGCCCCGGAAGTGGGCTATGCTTGGGTACCAGTCGCTTCATACGCAACCTTCCTCGCGTGCACTCAGGACTGCAATGAATGCACGTCTGTCTGGATGTTCAGGAAAAAAGAGATAAATTTCAGAATGATACCTTCAGTTGGGCTTGATCAGCCCCTGGGTCCGTCGCGGTCACGCTGCTGCAGGACGTCCGACTACTTGGCACTCCTTCACGTGCCGTGCTTGTGTTGCTGGTAGTGCTCGGTCGGGATGCATCAGGGGTGGTGCACCTTCGTCTCGCCAAGCTGGGCTCTTGGCCCGACGAGGTAGACTTTCTCTGGGCACTGCTGAGGTTACGGGATCTTCTACGAAAGCGACCGTCCACAGCGTCGTACTTCCTTCGATGCAATGGCGCGAGCCGCTGTTTCAACTTGCCTACAACTTTGCCCGTGAGCTCTTGTTTCGGTGAGAGCAGCAGTAGCACTGGCAGAGCACGAATGAGGAATGCGAACGGACGAAAGTTGCGAAGGTTAGGAGTTGTGTGGTTTCGCCCCATATATCCTGACACAAGTCTAAACCTTACGGTGTGCGTGTTTGACACACCAGTCGGGGTCACACAGGAGGATCGTCCCTGAGGAAAATTCCTTTCTTTGGCTTTTCCTCCTACGTGCCGTGCCTTCATTTCAATGTGAAAAGGGTTCAGAAGACCCTCCCCTCTGTTGTTGTGTGTACTCACGATGACGCACTTTAAGGATCGACATATCTCTCATGTGTTACCCCGCTTGGTTCGTGTGGAGTAGAACAACTCTGTGAAACTATTCAATCTTATCAACACTTCCTTTCTTATGTCTCCCTCCCGCTGTGTGACCCCACGACACAACAGGACTAATAACGCTGAGACTTGAAGTTCCAACCTTTGGGGGACCCTGTGTTCTTCGGTCGGAGATAAACGGTGTCTGGCTCACATTCATTGCGCATACTGTAAACCAAGCACGCACTCCCCAACAAGCGATCTGGACTTGGGGCATGTTGCCTCTGTCAACGAGGAATCGGAGCGAGGTTTCACAATTGCCGGCCGTTTCGGCAGTCACCCAAACTACAACTGCGCGAAATACGGATATACTTACATAGCCTGGGCTGCTTTACTTGCCTTTCGCTGCAGTTGGCTTGGCCGCAGTGTTTCCGCGGGTAGGTGTTGTCCCATCTTGGGAACGACTCACCGCTTCGACGGGGACAATTGAGTCTCTGATTTCGTCCCAACAAGTCCGAGTTGCTCCAGTAAAATCCACCTTGAGCTCAGAGGGTGCACACTCAACCTTGCCCCGTCCGGGAAGCAGGTGTGGCCTTGCCTCTGCTAGCTGATATGTACGTACACCAGTGGTCATCTTCGAGGCGGTTCTGAGTGTCGTGGTCGATGGGTCAGGCGCTGACCCCGACCGTAAGAGTTCTTGTTCTGGGTTTTTTGTCGACAACAATTGCCGAAAACCAATCCTATCGGCGCCACCGCCCCCAGCAGCAGGTTCTCGTGCAGTGGCTGCCACGGATGTTGTTTCCGCGTCCACTGCAGCATAAGCCACACCGTCTTCCTTGATGGGACCGCCCGAGATTCGCTTATCGCCCACAATCCTCACCTCCAGCACCGGGACTGGGAGGGTTTTTCGAAGAAGAGGTTTGGTCTTGCCCATAGGTGCTGCTGTTGCTGTTGACCCTTTGCCGATGTCTACAGCAGATTCTTTTCTATTTGAACCCACGAACGGATCCTGAGCGCTGACACCCTGCTTTGCTAACCCCCCTTGGGGTGATGGCTGTGTTGGCGGTTTGGGTGAAAAGGCCGGCTTGGAACCAGAGACGCTCATACTCCTGGCCAACCTCCACCTGCTCGTAGACAGATCTCGCGGCTTCTCCTGCCGTCTTGTTGGGATGTTGCTATTGGACAGAGATCGCTGGCCAGTGGCTCTTGGCTGGTGTTGCGGCAGAAAACGCGAGGGAGAAAATATGTTGTCTTTGTTTTATCAATATCTGTGTTTCTTCAAGGGTGCCACCACCAACACACCCGACGAAGCAATTACCCAACACCTTCCTTCTACACCTTGCTAGCGTATCATACAGAAAGATGCAGAAGATGGGTACCAAACTGTCTTGTTGAGTCTGTTACCCACAGGGGAGATATCGCTGTGTGCTGCTCGTGAAATCGTGGAAATACAGGTAGCCTTCGCTGACGCTATGGATTCATTGCTAATCTATCTCAGGCTCTTTTGTTAGATGGAGATGGATTCGTGGGTCATGTTTCGAAAAAAATAATAATAGTATAGTACTTCAGAACAAGTATGTTTTTGTGGGCTTTCGACGAAGGATGGCGGCCGAATTAAATAGCGATGATGATGATGGCCACGATGCACGCACGACGGATCAACTAAAGCCCCAGACCCAAGAGACTTGCGGCCTGCGACCCTGAGCATCAAAGAGACGC